AAACTCTCACACACTCAAACTCTCACACACTCAAACTCACACACTCACTCACACTCACACACTCACTCACTCACTCACTCACTCACTCACTCACTCACTCACTCACTCACTCACTCACTCACTCACTCACTCACTCACTCACTCACTCACTCACTCACTCACTCACTCACTCACTCACTCACTCACTCACTCACTCACTCACTCACTCACTCACTCACTCACTCACTCACTCACTCACTCACTCACTCACTCACTCACTCACTCACTCACTCACTCACTCACTCACTCACTCACTCACTCACTCACTCACTCACTCTCACTCACTCACTCACTCACTCACTCTCACTCACTCACTCACTCACTCACTCTCACTCACTCACTCACTCACTCACTCTCACTCACTCACTCACTCACTCACTCTCACTCACTCACTCACTCACTCACTCTCACGCACACACACACACTCACTCACTCACTCTAACCCACACTCACTCACTCTAACCCACACTCACTCACTCAAACTCACACTCACTCACTCTCACTCTCTCACTCACTCTCACTCTCTCACACACTCTCACTCACTCGCTCTCTCACTCACTCGCTCTCTCACTCACTCGCTCTCTCACTCACTCGCTCTCACTCACGCTCGCTCTCTCACTCGCTCGCTCTCTCACTCGCTCACTCACTCACACGCTCACTCACTCACACACTCAAACTCACACACTCACTCACTCACACTCACTCACTCACTCACTCTCACTCACTCTCACTCACTCTCACTCACTCTCACTCACTCTCACTCACTCTCACTCACTCTCACTCACTCTCACTCACTCTCACTCACTCTCACTCACTCTCACTCACTCTCACTCACTCTCACTCACTCTCACTCACTCTCACTCACTCTCACTCACTCTCACTCACTCTCACTCACTCTCACTCACTCTCACTCACTCTCACTCACTCTCACTCACTCTCACTCACTCTCACTCACTCTCACTCACTCTCACTCACTCTCACTCACTCTCACTCACTCTCACTCACTCTCACTCACTCTCACTCACTCTCACTCACTCTCACTCACTCTCACTCACTCTCACTCACTCTCACTCACTCTCACTCACTCTCACTCACTCTCACTCACTCTCACTCACTCTCACTCACTCTCACTCACTCTCACTCACTCTCACTCACTCTCACTCACTCTCACTCACTCTCACTCACTCTCACTCACTCTCACTCACTCTCACTCACTCTCACTCACTCTCACTCACTCTCACTCACTCTCACTCACTCTCACTCACTCTCACTCACTCTCACTCACTCTCACTCACTCTCACTCACTCTCACTCACTCTCACTCACTCTCACTCACTCTCACTCACTCACTCTCACTCAAACACTCACTAACACGCTCACTCACACGCTCACTCACACGCTCACACTCACGCTCACACGCTCTCACTCACTCACACACACGCTCTCACTCACTCACTCTCACTCACTCACTCTCACTCAAACACTCACTAACACGCTCACTAACACGCTCACTAACACGCTCACTAACACGCTCACTCACACGCTCACTCACACGCTCACTCACACGCTCACTCACACGCTCACTCACACGCTCACTCACACGCTCACTCACACGCTCACTCACACGCTCACTCACACGCTCACTCACACGCTCACTCACACGCTCACTCACACGCTCACTCACACGCTCACTCACACGCTCAC